AGAAAAGAAAAGAAAAGAAAAGAAAAGAAAAGAAAAGAAAAGAAAAGGAAAGAAAAGAAAAGAAAAGAAAAGAAGAAAATGTGGCTGGAGAGACAGCTCAGCAGTTCAACAGTTAAGAGCATTTGCTGCTCTTGCAGAGGATCAGGATTCTGTTCCCAGCACCCAGGTCAGGTGATTCACATCTACCTGTGACTCCAGCCCAAGGGGATCTGACACCCTCTTCTGGCTTCCTCTACAACATCCCCCGACATGCACACACACCAAAAATATTTTGAATAGAAAGGAAAGGAAAGAAATGGAAAAATAAACCCAAAATGTTGTTTTTGAAAATAATACATACTCATGGCTCTTGGGAGGGTGTTTTTTTTTTTAGTTCAGGATATGTAATATGCAAAGCAACAATTTCCTGCATTCTTCTCCTTCCCTTTTCACTCCTGCTACATCGTCAGTCACTTAAAAAATATTTTCCTCCTGGTGGTTATCTTTATTATCTAGAGATGCTGTCTTGGTTTCTACCCAGCTCTTTCCTGTTTGGTTTTGGCTCTGAATTTTAGTTTTTGAGGTACAGTCTCATATAGGCCAGGCTGGCCTTAAACTTGAGGATGACGTTGAACTTTTGGCCCTCCTGTCTCTACCTCTCAAGTAATGGGGTGGTGGCTGTGCATCGCCATGCCCAGTTACTATTCACTTATCAATCTTACACAACATCTCTTGCATTCCAACTCTAACACATGCTCAGCACACACGGAAAAATATTATTCTTTTCACTTTCCTAATGGAAATCTTTAATGACTTCAAAAATACATTACTTATACAAATGTTATAGGGATGAAGGTAAGTACTCGTGTTCCCAAGTCAGGTAAGTTTGTACAGATGGCTTATTACCACCAAGTGGTTTTATATCCACTGAGCCAATTAACCAACAATGAAAAGTGTAGAGAAAGGGGCCCCAAAGGAAAGCAAAATTCCCTTACTTTAGTATTCAGAGCACAGCCGTTTAGAGCCTGACTGCGGCGCTGCACATAGGCATCTAGAGTTCAAGTATGAGTTATTTGGTCGCACGTGCCTTTCTCCCCGTCTCAGAAATCAGGCATGCCCCGTGACAGTCTCTCTCTGGAAGTTCTTTCTCTTCCTCCCAACTCTCTCCCTCACAACTGCAAGATACCCAGGCTTGGCCTAAGGCCTGACTGAAGCATGTCCTGTTAAAATCTCCACACCCCTTTGGAAAGCTATAAAAATCAGAAATTCCCTTTAGTCAGGAGATTTAGAGGCTATCTCTCTCTCTCTCTCTCTCTCTCTCTCTCTCTCTCTCTCTCTCGACAACCACCATGCTATATCTGATAGCTGTCTTTCCTAATGCAGCTCCTCTCTGGACCTGAAGGTCTGCTTCCCCACTTCCTGGACCTATCTTCAAATCCTAGACCCCTCTCTAGGTTTTGAAGGGAAAGCCTGCTCTCTCTTCAAGACTCTGACATGCAGTCTCTGGCATGATACTCTAACGCCCATTGGTTCTCCCACATCAGAGCCTGAGCTCGCCCACCTAATCAAGCTCCTTCTGAAGCATGATCTTGTCAGCTCATTGCCCCCCAGCCCAGCTCTGATCTGCATTCCTTCATAATGCTAATGGCCCGTGGTACCTTACTCAAATGGCCAGTCTCAAGATACACACAGTAAAATATTCTACTTAAGATAGTAAGAGGCCTACTCATCCCCTCAGATATGGGCCCACACAGGAATCCCAAAACCATAAGACCAAGTAAAAGACCAAGTAACATTAAAAAAACAACAACAACAAAAAAACTTCCTTTAGAGTGATATGCCCCTTCTTCAGAACCTGTCCACTGCACTTTTGCAGTGAATTTCAATATGTTGTCTCTTTACCTGCTCTGGTCTTGATGAATTTTTTTTTTAAACCACACCTAATTCTTAATTCCTGCCCACTTCACCCTACCCTGGCACTCACTTGAGCATGTCTGTTGCCATCTCATGTGACCCAGGATTGGAGGGAGGACTAAGAAAGCAGGTGGAGTTAAGGCCCTGCGTTTCTAAGGAAAGGAAAATTTTCTAGCAACAAAGGCTCCTCCTATGTAATCAAATGGATCACTGGACCGAGAACCCCCCCACACACACACAGATAAGTCCCGGAAATGGTGACTTGAAATGCTGCAGTAAGACAGGTGACAGCTCAAAGGTGTACTCTGAGAGCAGCTGAAATTACAAAGAGCAAATATATATGTGTATATATATATATATATATATATATATATATATATATATATAT